CCCCCCCCCCCCCCCCCGGCGCCTTGGGCGGTCGTTCAGGTTATGCGATTCCGGTCTTGGGCATGATAGGTTTTTTAAGGTTTAGGTTTGATTGGGTTGGGGTAGGTCGGGGATGCGGCCAATGCGTGTGTAACTGCTTGATTGCTTCGTATTCGCCGACTTTGTCTCCGCCAATCGATCAGAATCGAAATGTGGCCATGTGTTCGCCTCCGGATTGTGTTTGCGTTCTTGCTTCAGGGTAGCCTTGGAATTCCTTGGATGTCGCGTTTAGGATTTGGGTGTTTTTTTGATCATGGACGGCTTTCCGGGTTTGGGGTTTCAGTTTAATTTAGCTGCGCTGAGTTTGGATGTGGCCGGTGCAACTACAGAACTTTACCTGGATTCTGCAAATATCGAACGCTACATGAATGCGATCCACACATTGCGTTTGGTTTACAATTTATGATCAAGCCGTGTCCGCACGCTTGTTTCCGGGTAATATGAGGTGTTAGGATGTGGAAGCCTTTGGTTTAAGATTACTTGAATGCAACTACCCACTGACTTTGTTTACAATGCCAGTTGCGAACAAAGCATTGCCCCCTGCTTGCTTCCGGATAGTTTTAGGGGTCAGGGTGCTTCGGTATTTTTCGGGTTTTGGAGTCTCGCATCTAGGTTAAGGGTATGTGAGATAGGTCACAGGTTTGGCGCTCAGACTTTATGGTGCTGGGGTGGGCTGGGATGCACTACCCGGATGCACCTTATTCGTGATAGGTATACTTTTTTGTCGGCGTGCTTTTGAGTAGATTACGGTTGGAACGTTTAGGGTTTCAGGGTTTGGCAGTTTTCGGGTTTAAGGTCATGGGTTTGACGTTATACAGGGTCATTATGCTTTGAGCGCTTAGATTGTTCTGTGCAGGGGCCAATGTATTCACAGCACATCAAAGCACGCACGCATGCTTGCGTCCGGACAGTTTAGGTTTAGGTTAGGGTTTAGTAGTTTTTGGGTTTGAGGGTTCGGACTTTCAATTATGTTTCCTGGGGCATGCGTGCTGATAAATGACCGCTACGCGGCACTACGAGTCTGGGAAAGCTCGATGAGCAACCCGGTATTCGCAGCATCGATGGTGCTCCCCGCATCAGGGGTCGCAGCTGTTGACCCTTGCGGGTTGCAGCGACAGTCCTCGCCATCTCCTTGGTCTCGTTTGTCGGCTTGCCCGGTACGCAACAGCTTCGCCTGTTCGTACTCGGGTTGCATCCCGGGTAGCGCTGTGGGCCCCCGAACAGTGCAGAAGGCATCTCGTACCCTGGGTTCCGGTTGTCGGTTGTCCTGTATGCAACAGCTCCTTCTGTTCCCGTTCTTGCTCGCCCCGTTTTGGGCCTCAGCACCTGTGGGCTGGACACAGCACAGATGCCCATCTGCTTCTCCTGGGCAGTTCTGATGTTTTCCAAGATTTAGGTTAATGAATCTTGTCCATCAAGTCACGTGTGGTCAGAAATTTGCAGGCACGCTTGTTTGTTGTTATGGTTTCGGCTTTCAGGGTTTGGGGTTTGTAAGATTTTGAGCTTGTGTGTTGCAGGTTGTTCAGGTTGAGGCTTGTCGAATCGAAGATTACCTGAACGCAATGTTCGCATGACCTTGCCTTCAGTGCTGCGAATTGTCGGCGTGTTTGTGTCCTGTAGTTTGTGTCCTAGTAGTGTGGAGGGTTTTTAGGTATGAGGTTTTCGGGCAGAAATCACCGGGTATAGGTTGTTGGGTTTGAGGGTTTTGGTAAGTGCAAGTTTGATTGAGCTGGGGTGCGCTGGGGTGCAGTCAGTGCGCGCATCTCGCCATGCAGCTGCCAGAAACACAGCTGGAGCTCGGCAAACTTGGAGAGTGCGGGGGCGTGGAGGGCTGCCTCTGCAGCCAGTGCTGCCGCTCCCTGCCCCCGTCTCGCCGGAGAAGGTGCGGCACGGAAGCAGTCGAAGGAAGCTGCTCAGAGGCCATTCTGCTCCGCAGGCCTTCCACGAAGTCGTGGAAGCTGCACAGAACAAGAGGGAGCAGTGGAAAGAGAAGCCTCCGACCCCCAAGGCCACCAACGCGCGACAGCTCTGCCTCTGTTGAACCAAAACGGAACAAGTGGCAGGAGCTCCGCAACCACGTGGCGGGCCGCTGTGGCAAGGCCCCACACGCCTTGTGGGAGCTGACGCCTAGGCTGGTCCGGCTACTGGAGGCCATTTTGCTGGAGGCCAGTGTGCTGCACGGCATGGAGACTGCTACAGGAACGCCTCGTGAATGCCTCGTTTTGTCCAGGTCCTGCCCATGGAGCAGGCGCGGCTCCTCTACCCTTGGTCGTCGCTCGCCCGCCCAAACCTTCCACCAACGCCATGTCCCGCCTCTTCCACATGGACATGGTGATGGCCATGCAGGCCGGGCTCGAATAGGGGCGCCAAAGAATTGAGTGAGTGGGCGCGTTACACGTCCCAAGCCGGCAAAGCAGTGACCAAGAAAGCTGCCGACCCCAAGAAGAAGGCACCAGAGAGATGGCAGCGCACAACTTCATCCTCGACTACTACGATGATTTATTGCAACGTCGTCCAGCCTTACATGATGCCTTACCTGACCCAGCTGAAGATAGGACAATCGATGAGTGGGCTAGGGTCTTCCTCGCGGCAGCGCGCAGTATTATGACAGCCCTCTGATATCAACGCCGGCTTTGGTAAAGATTGCACAGTTGCATTTGATTTAGGACAGATGAGTGTGTAGAGGGAATGTCATAGACATAATCAAGATGACCGATGTGCAGTGTGCTGACAAGCTCGGCTGACAAAAAACGCTGCCTTACATCGGCAAACAGGCCCGAGTGCATGGCATATTTATACGCATAGATTGGTAACAATGAAATAATCGCAGTTTTCCCCTGGACTCGCCGAGAATGGGGGGGGCCCGCAAAAGCACGAAATTGCAGAGTTTGGCACAAACGCTCCTTGTCTACCGGCCGCTCCGAAGGAACCTTGCATGGTGGGGGAGTGCGCATTACCTTTGTTTGCAGTGCCAACTGTGATAAGAACACGCATCCCGGTGGTGCTGGCGTTCAGGGCTTGTCTACCGTGCCAGTTGTGATCAAAGAGTGTGTTGGGTTTTTTGATGTTCAGAGCGTTGGCATTCGGGGCCCATCGAATTCAAGGTTTCAGGATTTGGGTTGTGCTGGCGTGCGCTGAATACTACTGCACCGGCACTTGCTTCTGACTTTGTTTACAATGCGACTAAGGTTTTATGAGGGGTTTTCGGGTTATAGGCACGAGGGTTCAGGGTTTAGATTTGAGTGTGCTGCGGTGGGGCCGGGTAAGGTGGGGTTTTCGGGTTTAGGTTTATGGGATTTAGGTTGTTAGGGTTGAGGGCTCTCAGGATTGGCCTAAGCCCGCGCCGGATGTAACACGACAGTTGCGATCAGCACGTGCCAAGCGCTTCGGGTTTGGTGATTTTGGGGTTTAGGGTCACAGGGTTTAGGCTGCTAAGGTTAGGGCTTAGAGGTTGTAGAGTTCACGGTTGGCGCTTGTGTGATTGGGTGAGCAGGGATGCGGCCAGTGCGTGCGCCAATCGTTACCAAACTCAACGTGACTCGTTAACAGACCCAGTTGTGATCAGAACAAGCCGTTGTGTTTGCTTCCGGGCAGCGTTGGGTTTTCGGGTTTTGGAGTTTGTTGTTTCACGGTTTATTGGAGGACTCAGTTAATCAGTTGCAGAAGTTTAAGATTTCAGGGTGTAGGGATAAAGCGTTTCGGGTGCGAGGTGTGCGGGCCGTCTGTGTCACTTGCTCGTGGGTGCATGCCAGATTGGGCTATGCGTGATTTTGTAGGGAGCTGCAGTCTGCAGCAAAACGAGCCGCACAAACCGATGCGTGCAGGCTATCAGCTCGCAACCTTGCAGGACACGTCGACGGTCGGGATGGTGCACGTGCAGCCCAAGCCGACTTTGGGGGACTTCGAGGACGGCGCCTCCATGTAGCGCATGTAGCTCAGACTTGAAGGATTTCGTTGGTTCATGGTATTTGTTCGGATAGCCCACCCGGCAGGAGCAAGTCAGCCAGGACACAGGCCTGTTTTCTCGTTGGGATCACCTGTGCTGATACCCAGGACGACATTGCAGAGTAAGTTTATAGATTGTCTGCTTGGTTGAATAGGAGCTTGAGTTCACTTGACTGGTCCTTGTGGCAACATAGCGGAATAGAAGGTCGTGGACTCGTTTACAAGGGCTTTCACTTATAAGGAATGATGAACACAACCCCGAATGTCATGTCCACTTCTGGGGGGCAGAGCTCCAGTCCGTTAAGCGTCACCCATATATTCGAGCACCGTTAAACAGCCGACCGGCCTTCTTCCAAGACCTATCATCCTCTCATCCTCCTCGAAGCTGAACACCGAAATGCGGGAGAGGCTGTGGCATCGAAGCGATGCTGTCAAGCACCCTGCTTGGGCCTGACGAGATATGCTGCGCTTTCGGAGTTTGGAGATGGTGCACACATGATGCAATGTGTCTGAGGGAGTTTTCCCACGTGCAGTGCTTTACGTGAACTTCAACAAGGGGTCGCAGTCCTAGAACCATGCCCGAAGAACAGTTGAGAAAGGGCACGAGAAAGAGAGCTTCATGTATAATTGTGATGCACCCCTGCAAACAGATGAGGATGCAACTCACGAGCTTGACCCCATACGAAGTATTTCGTGAGCATGCATGGGGTTGGTCAGTGACCATTCCTCCGGGAACAAGCCTTACTTTGCGTGCATCTGCATTCGTAAATGAATATAGATGCTTGCGTGCTGAGGCCGAGGAGTCCTGTGCGCCAATCCTCGGAGTCGAGCCTGCGTCTCACGGAAGAAGCGGATGCAAGGGATGAGGAGAGTTGACATCGAACAGCTGGAAAGTGTCGGCATGCACGAGTTGGGGCTCTAGCTGGCGCAACATGCTTGGGTATGTCTCAAAGAATGTTAGTCTTCAATTCACAGGCCGTCTTTTGTCTGAAGGCGTGTCCACCTCTGGCGTAATCCCCTCGCATTTCGCAGACTAGAATGCCATACTCGACGGTTCTCCTCAAGTAAAGTACATCGGCCTGAATTGCGCTTCTTCCGTTCAGCTTGTGCTTCGTGTATGCAGCAGAGTGCTCGAGGTTTTTGCGTTCAGCCGTTTGAAGGCGCAACTCGGAAGAACAAAGCGTTTCAAGTCGTCGAAGCTCTGCTGCAGAGGTCGAAGCCACCGGTCTTCGCGCCGCCGCGTGGACCTCCGCGCCCCTACCTTGGCAGAGAAGCCCTGGAGCCGAGCGAGCTGAGACAGGGCATGGCCTAAAGCAGACTGCGAGTGAAGATCTGCGACCCGCTTTGGATCTCAGGTGGACTTGGATGATGGCGAGACCGTTTGGATTCGCGACATCTCGCGTGAGGCCGCGTGCAACCAGCACAGCCCGGCGCGGCGTCCTCGAATCCTCTGAGACAGGCCACGGCCGAGAGGTTGAAGCAGCGGCTTCAGCAGACCGGAGCTCAGAAAGGGGTGGGCGTCAGTGCGCGGAGCCGGCGAGGGTTGCCGGCTAGTCTGGAGGGCTGAAACATCTGGAGTAAGTAACCTTCTCAGAAGTTGAAGCAGGGTGTTGGACAGTCCAGGCGATGTGCATTGACATTCATTAGACATTGTTGCTTTGATCAAGGTCTTGCAGAAGCATCCCATGGGCACACTGTTTTTATTTGCATCCCTTGTGCATTACCAGACTCCCACTACATCATACGCAACAAGACCAATCCTTGATGTGATCATGCGTTGTCATCAAGAATCAAAGCATTCTAAATAGGACCCCCTGCCAAGGCTTCAGACACCGCACAGAGCAGAGCTTGATCAGGTCTGGAGTGCCGGTGCAGGGCTTGACGCTGACCTTTCTCGGCCTTTCACTCAAGGACCGAACGCATCTGAAAACACGACGGAAAGGCCATCCGCAAATTCCTGTTGCAGGACCATTGGCGCCTGGCTGACTGTGGTATCAAGGACTGTGACGCAGTGAAGGCTGGGTGTCATAAGCCCGCTGCTTCGATTGCCTCGGAAGTGGCAGCCTGTGATCCCGTCCGTCACCTGTGTGCGCCTTGTACCTGGGACAGCTTTTCCAAAGTGAAGGCCACCATGCAACCAGATGGCGGCCTCGGTGGTTCTCTCAGCAGAGGACAGTTGCTACGGTTCACCCGTAAGCTTTCCGCATATGTTCTCTGTACCGGCTTCGTTTAACATTTACCGACATTTTGTGCTAAGTTCTGTTGCATCTAAGGCGGACATGCAAGTCAAGAGGTGAGTGTGAGATCTGACAAGGCCACATGGTCTTGAAGTGTCAGGGCTTCGAGGCATCTGCATACCAGCTTTGTCTCCACAGGGGCGGCCACTTCGTGGGAGCTCAGCTGGCAGCTGCAGTACAGGCACCTCTTAAGTACCCAAGTCAGTGCTTCTGCACAAGGATTATGAAGGTCTTGAAGCAAATTCGCAGTTTCTGGGTCCAGGCCGTCACGGGGCGGGCCCCTTGCCGAAGCCGAGAGGCATGGTGGAGCATTCTTGATTTGAAGTCCGTTTGGGACGTTTCTGCATGAGACGCCTCCTCCAGAACGGAGCTAGGACAGCATTTTCCAGCTTGCAGAGAGGCTTAAATCAGGTGCGAAGAAGGCAGGTTAGAGAGGTCTCTTTTGTATCTTCCACAGCAGCTTGCCACTAGGATGCCCTGACCTCGAGGTACCGTGGAAGCGGGAGAAGAAGCGGCACCCCAGCTGGAAGATTCAGTCGCTCTCTGAAGCTTCCGAAAAGCCTTTGAGTCCCTTTTTTGAGGCTTTGGCATTGGGGCTGGTGCCGGTCGTGACGAGTTTGGAAGCAAGCCCCGGCCCCGAAAGCCGGGAGCGCTCGACCTGGGAAGGCCGAGGAGGGACCTCCAGAAGGGACCTCAGGCTTAATATTAATAGGACGCTGATGAGGATCGGGAGATCTGAAGGGACCTCAAGAGCTTCAGGCCTCAGGACACTGCAGGAATCAGTAGAGATGCTCCGTCACGGACCCTGAAGGTCCTCACCCGGAAGGCAGCGCACTCCCGTCGTTGGCCGCTTCCCCGGTGCAGATCTCGGAGAGCGCCCGACCGCCAAGCGTGAGCGGTTCGAAGGTCGCCACTCGCGAGAGCACGTATCAGGCGGAGAAGGACGACACGCTGAATTTTCTGACCGAGTTGCATCGAGACGTGTACAGAAAGCCGGAAGCAAGCGAAGGGCGGCCAGGCGAGTCTGAAGGGTTTAGGTTGCTGCAGTCGCTGCGGAGAGAGAGCCGGAGCCATTCGGAGTGCGAGCCGAAGCCGGCATCCACGCTGCAGGCTTCCCCAGATTCTCCCAGCCCCGTCCAAAAACTTGACGACGACCTCGTGGTCTTACAGGAACAGCGTCACGACCAGATTCTGACATCCATGCATCTCCAAGAAGAGAACATTCAGTGCCTGCGAGATCAGCAGCGGGGTCTATTGCGGGAGCTCCAGACCGCACAGGAAGCACAGCAGCAGACGAGCGCAAAGCAGCACTCAGAGCTGCGAGACATGAGAGACGATTTGAGGCTGCTCCTCTCAGGCCAGCAGGAAGTTCACCAAGACCTGACTCGTCTGCAGCAACGCGTTGAGCAAGGAAGTCGAGCTACACCAACTCACCCAAAAGGGCCCGAATTTGTCGCCGAGCCGGTGCCGTCCATGCAGTTGAACTCGCCCCTCCGGCAGCGCGAGACCTTGTCGGCTCGCAGGTCGTCAGACATTCCTAGCAGCCGTCGCTGGTTGATACGGCAAGTGTTCCGGATGCTGGACGTGGATTGTGATCAGCGGCTGACGAAGGTGGAGCTGAAAGGCTTAGCGGACCTCATGGGATTTGAAGGTGCAGAGGCTGACTGGCTGCAGGAATACCGACTTCTGTGTGCCGACAACCATGTAGATGAAGGCCTTGGCTTTGACCTCGAGGGCTTCGTGGCACTTCTGGAAAATCCGAAAGGGTGTCCATCAACGACTGACTCGCTTTTCAGGGCGCTTTTGGACCTTCGATGCACTGGGGACGAGGACCGGGAGCGTGCTTCGCTGGTGATCCTCCTTTTCGAAGCACTGGACCGTGACGATGACGGCTTTGTGGGCGTACAGGAACTCTGGCCGCTGGCGTCAGCCACAGGCTTCAATGGCTCGGATGATGACTGGGAAAGGGAGTACCGGCTACTTTGTGAGGACCTGCCAAACACCAAGGAGTTACTTCGGAGGGGCCTGGACTTGCCGACATTCGGCCGGATGCTTGCGGACACATCAGGGAGCGGCTTGCTTTGCTCCGTTCCCCAACTCCAAAAATTCCTGGCTGACTTCACCCGCACTCGCGGGAGTGGCAAAGGGATTGTCCCAAGATCCCACGTTGGAAGTCAAAGTCTGCCTTTGGCAAGCGACGAGCTGCCTCTGAAGGTGCCCAATGTGCCCAGTGGTGCAAAAGCCAGCGGGAAGAGTTTACAGCCGGGCAAGGAAGTGCAGGCCGTGGAGGACCACAGCGAGAACAGAAAGAGCAATGGCACTTCGGGACTTCCGGTTGCCAAGTCAAGGAGCAGACTCATTCGAACGGTCTTTCAGCTGATGGATGCGAACTCTGATGGGGTTCTAGATTCTGAGGAGCTTTTCGTGCAGGCCTCAGTGGCAGATCGCATGCTGCGCTGTGGGTTCATATAGATCTGCATGTAGTGAGCCTACAGAGGTGTTCGCGAGCTTGAGTGGCTTCAAAGCGGGCAAGGCTGGACAAGATGTGTCGTAGAAAATCCGAGAACCCTTCTTTGAGCTCAAGCAAACGTCGTTGCACGGTCAGACTAGCATTATGGATGAGCATGCCCCAGCATGGCAGCTAACCGGCTTGCAGTATTCATCATGTCCCTTTGGCCCTGGGATACGTTTGTGGGAGACGAAGACCGTTGCGACTTTGAGAATTCAGGCATCCTGGCAGCAGGACCTTTCAGACAAGAGTCTGCAGCTTCTGCGCCGCCCGGAGGCAGCCTGGGAGCTGAAGTACCGACGCCTCTGCGAACGACGGAGTCTGGTGCCTGAGGCCAGGGGGAAATTCAAGGGACACGAGTCACAACCACAAGAAAACACGGCAAGGATTAGTGGACAATGTCCCTGCACGTTCGCCTTGGTACAGCAATGTGCGGCATGTGTGGGAATTGTGGGAAACACGAATAGTGAGCACATGAATGTGGTTGGCTTGGTTGATGACCAGCGATCAGGCGGGCATCGGCGCGCAGACGTTCGCAGCCCTATTGGAGGCGGAAGTGCCAAAGATGGTGTGGATTTGTTTGCAGGCTTTCAGTACGGCAAGAAGCGGCCCATGGCAAGGGATTCCGTCCAGCTTCATGTCTTACACAGTACAAACGTTGTTCATGATGAAGCGACTCATGCGTGACCCCTGGAGTCGGCTAGCAACACCGGGTTGCAAGCACACATCGCATGCTCGCCTTGACAGGATTCTAGCGATGCTGGCCTCTATTGCGCTGATGCAGAACTGCACAACATCATCCATACACAACGGCGCCCGGCGAGCGATGAGGCAATCACATGTCTATGGTGGAAGTTGTTCGGGTTTCATGCAGGGTCTGCCAGAGTCTGCGAAGTGCGATTTCTGCTGTGCACTTCCGTTCGGTCTTGCGAGAGTTGCTACAAGTATCATGCCAAAAGGCATGTCGCATCTCGTCTTCTATCCGTGCTGTCCATATCTCATTACAAAGAAACGGATATGCTTCTGCTGTTCTGAGAGTATGCCTGCTTACCTGTCCGTGGTGTGGTACAAGCTGAAGCTGGAGCGACTAGTGTCGCCCAAGTCGCATGCAAGCAGGGATGATGGAGAGTGTCGAGCTTCCACAGCTCTCATCGCAAAGTGCTGTGCAACGTCTGCAGGCAGAAAGTCGAAGGCCGAGCACCAGCAGTGAGCAGGCATCATGGGTCCGCTTTGGTACGCTCCATGTCAAGCTTTCAAGATCGTGATCCGACATGCATCGCCATCACGCGTGTTTGAGGTCCCGGCACTAGAACGTCCACGCCTGATCAACGCCTTGTTCTGGTACCTTGATGTTGACAAGGCTCCTCCGAGGGGTTTCCTTTGAGAGACGTTCGGCTGTTGGAAGTCTGTGTGAGGACGGCCTTCTGCAAGAGCATGAGCTTGAGGGCCTCGTGAGCCAGCTGGGCATTGACACCGTCGAGTGGCCGAAGGCATTTCAGCAAATCTGTGCCAAATATGATGTCAACGCCATCGACCTGGAGCATTTTCAGCTCTTGCTGGATGACCGTCCGGCTCTCAGAATTGATCGACATTCTGAAGATGCACAAAGTGTGCCAAGATTCAAGCCCTGCCTCTCAGGTAGCGAGGTCACCTACTGCGAGCCGGAGAGCTTGCACAGCATTCTGGCAAGGTGCCGTGCTTGTTGCGGTGCCAGAGGGTGACACGGTCACATGTGGATCCCTGAAGGTTCAGCCGTGGCCCCGCACGCGGGTAGACGAGCATGAGCCGCGGTCCGAGGAACCGGAGACTGCACATGTCAGCCGTCGAGTCTCTGAGCTTCGGAAGCTTCTGTGTTGGAGCTGAGCTCAGAGGCAGTTTTACAGGCTCTTAGCATATTTACAGTCACAACTCTTCAAGCGGATTTGGATGGCAGGACGACGCTACAGATGAACTCGCCGACTTGCGGCTCCATGAGAGAGCTCGCCGTGGCGATCGCGGTCCGCCGGTCTGTGATGGCTCTGACGGATCAAGCTCGATGACCGACGTGGGAACCTGAACATCAACGAGCCGTCGTTGCCACTCAGCTTGGCGAGTGCCACGCCTTCTTGAGCGCGGCAAGCGCATGATTCCTGAATGGCTGGAAGAGGATTCTGTCCATGTTCGTGGAAGCGGAATTCGCTCGGCAATGAGGCTGCAGCAAAGCACTTGAAGCAGCTCCGCTTTTCTTTGAAGTTACGAGCAACTTCAGCACAGCGTCTCACAGCTAATGTACCTCGCCATATCTTGATTTTTTGCCGTTCCCAAGAAGGGAATTTGTGCCAGACAGTCGGAGGCTTCAAAGTGTCAAGCACCGAAAGTGAGAGCTTTGCTGCCTGTGAGGCCGACAGCATCCTCTTACGCCGAGTTTTTCTAAAAGCAGAACCCATTCGCCTCCTCCCCTCGCGGCTCAACTTCTGAAGGGCCGGCTTGCAGGATTGGCCACAGAAAACAACAAGAAGTTGAAACGAGTGGTTCTGAGAGTTCTGGTGAAAGTTCCTTGATGGTTGCCGAGTTCTTCGGCCCACCGGACGAAAGTACACTGCGCCTTCGATTCCCTGGGGCTCAGGCACCGCCCCCCATGCCTAGTAGAAACGGCCCTTCGTTCAGGGTTCTCTTGCTGTTGCGCCGACCCTTGAAGGATGCCGAGCCTTGTGAGCTTTTTGGGGACGTCTCCGTGGTCTGCTCCTTCAGCCAGAACCTGGAGGCCACCCCCAAAAAATCCTTCCGTGCGGATGTTGCCCTGCATTTCCAAACCCAGCTCATAGCAGCAAGTGCCTTATGCTTTGTGCTGGTCTCTGTGGTTCCCTTGCCCTACAAGTAGGCAGTTCCTTAGTCAGGGCCATCCCTGGGCCAAGACTTCAAAAGCACGATCGCCTTGGAACGTGATGTCGGGGTATAGTCGGCAGCCAAACTCTCTGTGTAACCTCTTCACCTCTTCCTGGCCTGATGTGTCCGAGTGCCAACCTCTGCAGGAGCGACTCTTTGGAGATGGCAGGGCCGAGGTCCCTCCAATCCCGAGAAGGGCTCCGACCGGGTTTCTGTCCCAAAGGGGGAATCGGGAAGTCCTGCATTCATGGCCGGCTCAGAGGAGTTGTTTGCAAAAGTTCGGGGTCAGCACGAGCTTTATCCACAGCATGTTTCCAATTTTCTCGACGCGCTCTTGCCGAGCTGACACTCAGGAACGGGCCTGGCCCGTGCATGGAGAGTCCTACCCACACGCCTAACTTAGCGCGAAGCGTTCCTGCACGGCAGGTTTTTTTTGATGCCCTACCTGGAGACGGACTTCAGATGCAGCAAGGCTCGTTGATACTCAGACAGAGCTAAATGCTGCTCAGCAACTTGATTGAACACGGCTCTCCCGCGCATGAAGTCTTCGAGCACTCATCCAAGAGACTGCAGCCAGCGAGCCGAGCTGCGTTTCACTTCCAGACAGCCCGTGCAGGTGACTTGCCGGCCTGGAGGCCACATCACGGGCTGGGGTGGCACTGTCGGCAGAAAGCAGCATTGGCTCTGTCTTTCCTGCTTTGGCAGGCGCATCCTCGCAGAACTACATGAAACTCCTTTACGAGACCTTCAAGGGCCAGTGCCTTGCCAAGACTCAACTCCTCACTTTTGCATCCGTCCTCGCGCAACTCTTCCTTCCGTCGCAAGCTCGCGCACGCGCAGGTGGCTGCACCTCCGCTCTGCCTGCAGGAGACATGCACCGCACTTTGCTCGTCAGCTGGTTTTCTGGGCTTCGAGCCGGACTTGCAAGCGTGCAATGAGCCGCCGCCCTGTACTTGTGAGTTCAGCGGCAGGACATCGCCGTGATTTGTTTTTGTGCTCCGACAGCAGGGACCCAAGTTGCGTTTCGAATTCCCGGAGAGAGTACTCGTAGGTTGTGAGCTGGGCAGGTGGCTGACGTCCGCTTGCGCGCGCCAGCGACAAGTGGAGTGGCTCTCTGCCGCACATTTTTGGTCGATGCTTGATGAAGATCTGCACATAATGGGAATCTCCTGGGTCACTCTCAATCTTCACATGGGCTCTTCAGTCGCTTGTAACAGATTGACTTGTTGTTATCACGCTCTATTTTTGGAGCCATCTCCGCTTGATGGAAACAGCTTCTTTCATTTCGTGATGAAGCTGAGGTCTGGGAGTTTCTCTGTGACGGCAAGGCGCTCTGCGATGCTTCTCCATTCTTTGCGGCGGCTTTGCGTGCGATCCTCGGCGATCCGCGTGCGTCGCGTCTATTTCTACGGTGCCCATGGTTTCTACTCAATCTGAGTTCTGAGGCAGGAATTGCTGGCTCGAGGCCCTGCCAGAAACTTCGAAGAACGGGTGGCACTGTTGCGCACCGCAGCATTTGAGAGGATCTTGTGGCTTTTGCATGGCCATCTAAAGCTGATGGCTCTAAACGTCACCTGATCCTTGAACTGCAGGGCCGATGCCAAGAGGTTCGGTTTATGGAGGAGGATGCGTGGACTTGGCCCGGGCGCCCAAAGATGGAAATAGTGAAAAGTTGGTCTGAAGTGGAGAGCCCGAAACCTTTTCATACCTGCCATATTTGTAGGACTGCAGGACATGTAATCACGAGCCTAGAGCCTGACCATTCCTGACCTTTAATTGGTGAAGCTTTTCCTGGGAATGAGATCATGTGTGGCCATGTGTGCACATGTCTCTGCTTGGACTTTTGCCTACCCCCAGCAAGGTGCAATTATTATTTATAAGGTCACCAATAAGCACCATCAAATCTACATGTTTTGTTTTTTTATGAAGGTGCAAACAAGCTCGAGCCTGCTGTGCGTTAATGTCTGTCATACTGGCGAGCATCATTGCCAGAAACGCGTGTCATGGTGGTCATGCGCAAAAAGAGACCGCAAACTGCCTGAGAAATACCATGGGTATTGGCCAGAGCGCCTGGAGCTTTTCCTCCGGGCCGATCGAGGTCCCGTGCGCTGCTCCTTCAGCTGCATGGCTCGGCTGAGGACACAAGAGATGCCCAAAGCCTGTCAGCGCACTCGGCGTGCTGCACTGCCGCACTATGCCGCACTACTGGCAGGAGCGCCGCTTCTCGGCGCAGCTGCCGCTGCTCGAGGAGGCCCGGACGAGGGCCGAGCATGGCCAGGCTGAGTCGTCCGCGAATGGTTCGCACACATGTCAGTCCTGAAGCGCAGGGGGCCGACACGGCATCCGGCGTGACGGAGCTGATCTTTGCAGAGATTCGCCTGGCCGCCTTGTGCAAGAAGTATTTGCTAACTCGCTCGGAGCAGCTACTGCTGCAGCGACTTCGCGAAGGCTCTGGGCTCGTTCCAAGGCTCAGCGCTTTGGAAGAGCTGGATTTCATGAAGACCCTTGGACTTGTTGAAATCGAAGTAAGCTTTTTGCAAGTCACAGCTAGAACGACAAACGACACCGGGGAAGAGCAGGGCCCATGACCTGTGAGGATTGCAAACCAGCTACAGCTGCATGGGTTGCTGCCAGCTGTGCTAGGCTCCTGGTGCTTGTCATACGCTGCATCAATGGCTCGGCCATTGCAGATGCTCCTGGCGGCGGGTGGCAAGTTGTCCCAAACTGTACTCGACTGCCCCGGGGCGGTTGCCTACATTGCCAGCGGGCGATTTCTGTGTGCTTTGAGGGACAGCAGGGAGTCTGTCAGCCGTATTCTGCTGCTCATGGCAGAGCGCGGTTGCCTCGACCTGTTGCAGAAGTGTCAGCGCTGGGACTGGTTGGACTCGGCGGACGACGTGTGGCAGGTTCTGACCGAAGATTCCTTGATGCCACTTACGCAGTTGCCCGCTTTCAGGCAGGAGCTGCGACAGCTTCGGTTTTGCTCGCCGGCGCTGGCGGAGGCCCTGGAGCCTTTTCCGCGACTCCTCGACGACCTGCTGGATGCTTGGTTCGGAGCTGACGAGGAGGGCGAGGTGAGCCTGAGCCTTGCAGGTTTGGAGCTCGTGTCTTGGGCCGAGCGCTGTACCCGCTTTCGCCAAAACTTCCTGCGAGCACAGCTGAGGGAGCTCAGCCCCAAAGCCTTCGCAAGCTTCTCCAGAACTGCACCCTTGGACCAGGAGGAGATCGGCTTTTTGGTGCAGCAGCGCCTTCAAGCAAGCCTCAAGTCGCTTTGTGAAGCTCCCCTTCTGCGCATGACATGCGCAGATGCTCCCAGTTTCGCAGACTTTGACGGACCTCTCCTGCGGCGGATCTGGAGGTTCAGGCTACTAGGCCCCTTCGAGCTGGGCGGTGCTTTGGCTTTGGTTTTTGTGAGGCCCTGGTTCCTTCCGCTGCGCCTCACCATGCTTGGCCTGGATCTACTGCGGGGCCTGATGTCTTGGAGCATTCCCACTTCGCTGTACCGCAGCCGCCTTGCAGCGGAATCCCACTGCTTCTGTGAGGCTGCCCGCGTTTTCCGGGCAGTGATTGCGGCGGCCTTCGACTTCGAAACTTGACTGTGCAGCGCACGCAGAAAAAGGCGACAGTTTGAGCCGAGCCGCTGGCTTCGAGCACATCACTGCAGGCGATGATCAGGCTTCAAAACACCTGGAGCACTCATGCTCCGCTATGCTCCAGCCTCAGATTGGATGGCCACTGGAAGCTGGCAGACAGGCAACCACCACGAGACCGATTTGATCCTTCGACTAAAGGAGTCGAGAACCAGCTCTGGTCTGCAGAGCACCATACACGAGCAAGAGCATGTTCGGACCTAGCGGTCCTGCGGATGCGGCACTGCAAAGAGAAGCCGCCGGCTGCAAATCCTACGATTCTCAACCCGGCCAGGTCAGTTCAGGTTATGGCAGAGGCGGTGTAAGGTTTGTGCGCTGGTAACCTCGAGCTCCAACCGGCTGTGGACTTCCGCTCGCTGCTTCTTGCAAGCGCCCGAGCAGCGTGGACGGAGGACAATCTGTGTGGGACCAGCTTGCTTCGCTCCCCGCAGCTGTGTCAACCATCGTGGAAAAAGGCTTGGTGATGGCAAAAGGAGGGTGTTTTTTGTTCGCACTGGCTTGAGGCCTTCAGATGCTCGCATACCTTTATTCAGGTTTGTGGTGTCGGTATCTATGAGCCTTGGGATTTAAGGGCTGTTGGGATATTGAGGGTGTGACGCTCTCCCCTACATGCCACCGCCCGCCAAAGCTTGTCCTGTAGAAGATTCTAACCCAAACCTGCAACCCCTGAACATCTCAAGACCGGGGTGCTAGAAGATGATAGCTTTGGATTTGAAGCCGGACCGGGTCGAATTTTTGGATTGCCTACATCTGGGTGGTGTCTACAGGATGCAAGGATCCGCACGACGGCCCTAGGTTCTTCCCTAAACCGAAACCGGAACACCACCTGTAACTGACAGACAGCGCAAAAAAACATGTCATGCTGTTTCTCGCAGCCGTGCTGTAGGGATCTGCTTGAACATCTGTGGTTGCACTCGTCTGCGTGCCGAGGTCAAGCACGCGAGGCCAATGGGTCGTACAATGTCCCAGTGCATCGGGGGCTCTGCAGAGCTAGATAATGCGGTGCTCAAGAAGACGACCCAGGTCACGGCAAGGACGAGCTGCAAGAAAGCCCTGGGTCTCTTCGTGGACACTGGCCACACGAACGTAGCTGGGAGGGCGGCTCGAGCTGTCCGAAGATTGGAGAGGCGACGGGACACCGGCAGACAAGCTGCGAGATCACCGAAACGACGACCAAACCTTGAAGTCGATGGGTTGGCGCAGTTCCGAATTCCGCGGCAGCGCAGCAGCGGGGGCGGGAGGGGGGGATGCAAATTGCTGCAAATCGCAGCAAATCGCAGCTTCGGAGTCGGCACTTGCCGGGGAAATCGGCGCGGCGCGGCGGTTCGCGAGATGTGGCCTTGCGAGCTCTTTGTCCCACAGTGGAACCCACAGACGACGCATTCATCTGTCAGCTGTGCGGGGGAAGGCGCAACGAACCCTTCGAACGTTGAAGGTGACGCCGCCATCTCGCCCGGGACAGTTTGTGGCTGGTGGGGGTGCAGGGGCAGCATGTACTGCCCCAAAGCAGCAGGGTCCTCCATGTTTTCATGGCGAAAGGTGGCCAGTTGCAGAGTCACATACATCGTGTGATGGTCTAGTTATGTCTAGTTTACGTCGCATGGCTGGCTTGCTGGGAAGTGAGAAGAATGATGATGCGGCAGATGTCTACTCGCTTCTCAATTTCTGAATTTGAAGCTCAAGCCTGTGCGATACACCCCAGATGTGCTATGGATTCGTTGAGGTATCAAAAGCGACTGGGAGTTGTCTTTGCAATGAATTGTGTTATCTAGACATGGACAAAGCATTCAGCCTAATTCCAGGTGTGCCTCTACCCAACCTCACCTATGTCGTGCCATGTCACTGCCAGCCAGTGCAGCCTCCTCTCATTCCAGCAGAGTCAGGGGCAGCGGGATCGAGATGTCCGGCTCGTCATCTCTGGATTCCCGACCGTCCTCGTGGAGAGACCGAAGTGAGGCACGAACCTTTGCGCAGTCAAAAATGCGTGGCTCTGACTCAAACAGCGCTTGGCTGAGTGAATGGAGGGGTATCAAGAACAATTGACAGCACACGGGCAGGCACTGGTGCAATCCTCTCTCCCATCCCCACGATGGTCCATGATTTCAGCAGACTCTGTGACTTGGCAGCCTGAAGCGTAGGAATGCAGGGAGTGACGGCTTCGCCCGTGCAGCAGCCAGACTGCCAAGTGTCGACAACGTCGAAGCTCGGTCTTGCTCTTAGTTGAGGATGCCTGAGTCCTTTCTAGGCTGTGGCACAGGCTCTTGCGCGGAGCCTTAGAATATTCCAAACCGGACGATTCCACAATGCTTATACCACAATCTTCGTCAGATAGAAATTCAGAAGGGAGCTGTTTTGCTTGGAAGAAACGCCCCACAAGCGCATCCGTGAGAGGAGATGCTGGCTGTGCGGAGCCTCGTGGCCGGAGCCGACTCGGGTCTGGCGCGAGGCTCCGCCGTTTTGCGGCCTACACGCAGGGACACGTAGGGGCCTAGGCTGCCGTAGTTTGCTCCCGTACGTTTGGTGACACTGCGCCTGTACGGCGCCATGGCCTCATGGCATCTCATGGCCTCCCCTTGCCCCCTGAGAGTGCATCGGTCGAGTGCTGGCAGGCCGTGATCCAGATGTAGACCACTGGCACAGCAGCATTCGTTTCCTCGTTGTGTCCTCAGCTGTGCTTGCAAACAACATCCTGCGCATCTACTGCATGGCTCTGTTTGCGAAGCATCGCAAGCTGCTTTTGGTCGGCTGGCAGCTTCCCTTCGAAATCCTGGGGGCTCTGTTGTCAGTTCACATCACCTGGAAGGATGCCGACATTCAGCGGCGGCTTCGAAGTGCATCGCTTGGCGGACGCATCCTTTGCGGTTTTTTGGCCTTTGTGTTCCTGGGCCTCTGTCAGATCATTCATGTGAAGAGGGCCTGGGCTCGGCAACTTCGGAGTGGGGAGATCCTGGACCGCTTGGACGACCGGGACTTCATGTGGACAACGCCCGTGCTCGGGGGTGAACGTGGGCATCCAGTTGCCGTAATCACCAACTTCTCCATTGCAACCTGGATGTTATGAATAATAGCTTTGGTGCCCATGTTCCTAGAGATTACGACCATTTCATAGGCTTCGAGTCCCTCCCGTACATGGTGCTAGCCTGCCCAGAATAAGCTCGGGACACACCTCGTGCTGCAGGTTCCGGTGTGCATGTACGCCTTCCTGACCAAGCAGTGCCTGAACGTGGAATCGGGTGAGAGTCCTTCTTCAATCTGGTGGTGCGAACCCAAGTCTGCTTTTGAAACGTATATACTGGCATTCGGAATCCTCTCAGCGCTGGTAGTGATCAGCATATGTGTCGTTGACATTGACATTGTGGTTTCGGCCTTCGTGGCTCGACGATACCATCTGGACTTCCGCCGTCGTGGCTCACGTGTCGGCGTCCTGCAGATCTTGTACCCTGTTGTGCACATCATCTACCGAATCGCGGAGGTAGTTGCCAGGATCTCCCTTTTGACGGCTTGCGTCCTGGTCTCCGGTTTCGAGCTACATCTTTCAGGCTTGATCGCTTCCTTCTCTTTGATTGCGGTGGACTTCTTGATAGCACTGCTCATCCTCCGCAAGTATTCACCCCGAAGCGAACGCTGGGCGATCCATTTCTTCGTAGCACTTGGCTTCTTGATTGCCGATATGGCGAAGTTTGTGGACCGGCCCGGATTTTCTTATCCTGCGCGACACATTAGCCTCGCCATCGGGAGGTGGGAGCATCAGAGCTGTCACAGCTTCGAGTGGATCAGTTCAGCCATGTTCAACCCATGCTGTAGCGCCTTCCAGGTGGCGGAAGCTGCAGCTTCTTCTGGTCTGCGGAACTGCCTATGCTGTGACTCGTTGGGGCGAGAGCTTGGAGAGGACGTCGCGTCGCCTGACCTGCCCTGGGCCCTCCCTGCCTCCTATAGACCTTTCAAATTACTTGCAATTGACAGGAGAGATCTGCAAACCTACCTGCGTGGCTGGGCGATCCTCGCCACACTTGCGACGTCCGTCCTGATCTTCGAAACCTTGCAGCTGACACCGATGATCAATGCAACCGGAGATGACCTGCACACTGCAGTTCTAAATCACAAAATTTCTCGTGTCAGAAAGCTGCTGGACACAGGGCTGGCTGGCGAAGCTCTGGATGTGAATGGACCGTCGAAGGCAAGCCGCCGCAATGACTGATCGATTCAACTGTTGACCTCTTGGGGAACCCTTCAGGACTCCCAGCAGGTGACGGCTGCGATGCTGGCGGCGCAGGAGCCTCTTGCACAGCGTGGCCCCTGCCTGACAAAGACCCCTTGATGTAAACGAAATCCTGGGTCTCTGAGGAGGGCTTCGTCGAGGCGGGCTGGAAGCTCGAGACGAAGGGACATGAAGGGACAGCTGGCACTTTAAGATGCATGATGCTGTGCTGCTTGATTCTTGGAAGGGACTTCGAATGATCATGTCTTGTGGTGGCCGCATGGAAGTGCGCGACTCCAAGCGCGAGACCCTGGGCTGAAACAGAGGTGGAGATGAGCGCATGAACCGACAGGTCGGTCGTGGATGGGGATTGGCATGCCCGCAATATTCCACTGCCCACTAGAAGCCTGACCCATCATGCGACAGAGCTGAGGACTTGCATCCACTACGCTGTGCGGCATCTGCAGCTCGAGGCCCCTCATGCCTCATGTCGTTGACAGAATGGTCTTGGAGTCTTGAAGTCTAAAGCTGGAGAGTCGCTGGAGGCTCTGGAGTTCCTCGTGCGTCAGCCAGGTGCATCGCAGGCCTGGGACCCAGAGAACCACTGTGGGAGCATGTGGGAGTGCTGGCAACTTTTGGGGTTTCGGGATGGCCAGGTGTTGCACGCCTGCCGCGAGGCTCGCGTCTCTGCGAGGTTGTGATTATCGGGTGCACCGAAGTATACTACGTTCTATCTCTGTGGCCTCGTGCCCCAAAATCTCCGCGACAAGCTAGTCGTCACTTGCTGCTTTCGAAAGTGACAAAACCCACGCGTTCCAGTCGATGGCCTCCCCGCGCTGCCCACACCTTTTTGCGGGTAGGAGTTGCGGGCCTTAGCTGCTGCGGCTGCCGGCCTTGACCTGGTGCCTCCAGAACCGCAGACAGGTCGGGTCAGGTCACTGACTGTTTGCGGTAGTCTTTGGAGATCCCTATCTGGAGGTGCACCGTCCGACCAGCCTACGTCGGGCGTCGCGTCGAACGAAGCGGGCCAAAGCCAGACGCCATCCTTCCTTTTCCGTGCCTCCACGAAGTTTGCGCGGAGGCTCAGCCCAGATGAGGCTCGTCGCCTAGTTCTCCTCTTGGAGCCCAACAGGGGCACGAGAAGAAATGCCGACGAACAAGAGGTGTTTGGCACGCTGCGGAATGTGAGGACCCACTTGGCTATGAGCCGACATCTGTTGAGACTCTTCCCGAAGGCTTTGGAAGAGGATGTGCCCCAACTTCACGAGCTCCACTCCGTAAGCGCACTGGTTTTTGGCCACGGTGCAGGCGCCTTTGCTCGGGCATTCCTGCGTGTAGCACCGGTGGCCGGTTGGCTGCAGTCTCTACGGAAGGTGCGGGAGCTCGGCCAGGGGGCCTCAGGCACAGTAATTGAAGTGGAGCTGGACGATAGCATTGGGACCCTTGGATCCATCGCAGCATCTCCGAGCAATCCGGGTACGGGAAGATCAGGGTTTCTGCGATCGAGAATGTCCCTGACTGGAAGATCTCGGAGTCAGAGCGATTATCAGCAGTTCCTGGAGCCTCCGCGCTTTGCAATGAAGCTCCAGTCGAAGCGCAACCTCGATTGGCAGGCCTACTCGGAGGTGGTGGCCCTGAGGAGGGCGGGCCACCCTTTCATCGTGCGACTAGAACAGGCCTTCCAGACCCCTCACTACTATGCCTTGCTGTTGGAGCTTTGTCCGAAGGGAGACCTGAACCTGCTCTTGTGTAATACGCACGAGAATGGCAGCGAGCGTCGCATGGGCTTGCCGGTGAGTCGTCCCTGCCTGAGCAGTTTCAAGGAGTAGACTCGCCCCACCCCACCCCGCCGAGCCCGCCGAGCCCGCCGAGTCGGAGTCGCGCAACGCTCCGCTGCGAGGTGCTGCCAGGTATGCCGGACAAGTGCTGCTGGCCCTGGTCCACCTCCACGAGGCCCGAGGCGCAGATCATTCACAGAGACGAGTAAGCTCCCCCGAAAGGTGCTGGGAATCATCTACCGCGATGTCAAGCCGGAAAACATCCTCCTCTCCACCCAGGACGAGGCAGGGCAAATTGTGGCCGGGTCCCAGTGCTGTGCTCGGTGCTTCGGAGGCCAAGCTGGCGGACTTCGGGCTTGCCCTTTATGTGGGGGGCAATTTCTTCAGCGAGCCTCCCTCAGCTCCATTCGCTTCTGCCGTGATGTTGACTTCCTCTGAACCTCCGCTCCATGCTGGGATAGGGTGGTCTTCCGGGAGAGATGTGGCCAGTGCAATGGAAATCACAACAGTATGCCAAGTGGCACCTCACCGAAGGCCAACTACTCCATGCCCATTGCAGGCACACCCAGGCCAGGCGAGCTCTGTTTTTGAAAGTTCTTGGTGGCGGGGATTCGAAGTTCGCTGTTTCCAGGTTTCTTGCTCCTGAGCTGGTCCTCGGAGAGGAGTCCGACAGCGAGATGTCCACCATGGAGCAGGGCCGGGAGTCCTGGATTCCCTGGTGTGCACTCTTCCTCTTCACCAAAATCCGCGACTCAGGCGCCATGAGAGATGTGCGCTTCGATCCGTTCAAGACAGATGCGCACCCTCGTAGACTTTCGCCAGACTTTGGTGCTTGCGCAGCCACTTCGGCTTCTGATGGCCCACGCAGGTACAGCTTTGGCATCACGCTCTACGTGATGTTGTTAGGCGAGGACTGTGCTGATTTGGAGCAAGGGGATGGAGACTCCTTGCAGTGGCCTCAGCAGGGCCCGGACGTCTCAGAGAGCCCTGTGTGACAGCACCTCCCCGCACAGTTGAGGTGGATATTGCCGAGGAGGCCGTGGCATTATCTTTCACTGCCACACCTGATAGTACCGTGTGCACTTGTAGATTGCGTTCTGTACAACTCCACGAAGCCAGGCTGCCCGATGCGGAACAGACGGAGTTCCTGGAATCATGCTGCCGCAGTGGACGACTTCTCCCTGAGGCCACATGTGCGTGTGCTGGCTGCGGGGAAGGCTGCGGGGTATGCGATTCCAAAGCAGTTCGGCTCAGGCGAAGGACCTCTTGGAGCGGCTTCTTCCATCCAGGTGAGCCGTTTCGTGTCGAGACGCCCTGAACACTGAATTGCCTTTCCGGCCTTATTGCCTCAAGTTGGCAGACAGGCCTCAGATGCGAAGGCGTCTGGCCGACGCAGAGATTCAGTCCGAATCCAAGCTTCTTTACTCCGGTTCCCTTCACACTGCCACAATTTCTGCAATATGCAGGAATCACAGCTTCTTCCTCGTGGCACTTGGCTGCAAGGCACTCCCGGCACGCTCCATTCTCGAGTAGTGCTGAGTGCTGAAGTGCCGTGCTTGACAGGATTTAGAGGCACACCTTCTAAGTGAGGCGGGACACCCGGCTGCCGTGCAAGCTAGAGCATGAGCAGCTTCATTTTATTGCGCCACTGCCTTCCCCTGCTTTTGAATTTTAAACCCGTTTAGCTGCTCAAGTTTCTTCCTCTCCAATGAGCAAAGCTCAGCCCTCAGTGGGCGGCTGGCCCCTGGGCATGCTCTGGAATGTTTGGGAAAGCAGACTTGCAGACCCTTGACAAGACTTAGGTTGACTTACGCATGTCGTCGAGGTTTGTAGGTATGTGCTGCTCAGAAATGCGCACTGTGCAACCTGCAAGGTCTAGTCCGCTGATAAGCTCCCAGCTCTGTTAGTGTAAGCTGGGAGCAGAATCCCCCGAAACCTCTGCAAAGTGTCGGAATATCCGATGCAAAAGCGGAGAGCTGTGCAAACTGTGCGGCTGAGGCCACTCGAGCTTGGGACGAGTTGGGACTTAAACGCCAGGTCCAAGCCGAAGCCGGGAGCTTCCGGAATGGGGAGCGTGCCCAGAACTTCTCTGATTCCCGAGCATTTCTAGACAGTTTGGAGAAGCCGTGAGTTTCTTGAGAAGGGTTGCGCATCGTGCCATCGACGGACACCGCGAAGGTCAGAGCTGTTCGCCAGCTGAGTGAGCAACAGGACTAACACAATCTACGAGGCATTTGTGTCAATGCGTGCAGAGTTCTCAGCTTTAACGGCTCTGACCACCACAGTTCAACATCTTGTGCAGGAGCGTTGTAGGGCTTCGGCTTCTGGAACGCGACAGTCTTGCCACCAAAACATGCCTGGAGAGGGTCCGCTTTAGCTTCTGTATGCTCTTGAAGGTACGGAGGGCAGTTTCGAGCAGCGCCTAGGGGATCCGGAGACACCAAGTGCTAAAGGGGCGCCAAAGACGACCGCGGCCCTGCCTGCCTTGCCTGCCTTGCATGCAGCGGGTGTGCGAGCTTTGGCACAGGCGAGCTTGAAAAGCACAGCACCAAGATTGCCTAGAGTCACCTACATCAACTCCACTGACCATGCATCCAGAGAGGACTGGTTCGTTGGCAAAGCAACAAGGAGAAACCTACGAGAATCTCAGACTGAGCGATGCCTCGGCAGTCATGAAGCGCACAGCGGCAGAGATCTCCGAGGCAATCGCAGAGTCCCTGAAGGGGCTCTCGCTTTCTGAAGCTGTGAGGGGCCACATTGCATCTTGTGTCAGCTCGCTTGCCGCTTAGCTGCCCAGAGCTGAGTTTAGTTTCTTCAGGGCGATGAGTCCCCGCCCTCCACGGTCGAGGCCGGGTCGTGACAGCGAGTCGAAATGGCTATGAACCCAGGGCGACTGTGAGGTCAATGACTCCGCTTCATTTTGGCGTTGCCAGGCGGGTAGGTCGGGTCTTTCCGGACATCAAAGCTTTTGATGCTCAGTGGCTCAGATAGAAGCGATCTATCGGCGACGCAATCCGCACAAGCTGAGCAACGTCGAGGCCGGAGGCTGAAGAGGAGGGGCTGGAGTTAGCTTCCGATTCCTCTTGATTTACATTTTGTGAGAGTACATGTCATTGACGTTCCTGGAAGTCGAGCCGACACACAACCGAACGAGTGCAGTGCTAAACGACAGTCGACTGTTTCTGAGCATCGCATGCCTACCATAAGAATTCGACTCCCGACAAGGCATTGCTAGAAAAGTACAAAGACAAAGAGGCGGTGCTCTATGCCAAAGTGTGCAAGGCCCGGAGTTTGCCGCGGTAGCTTCGATTGTCAACATGCTGTGAGACCAGTCGAGCTGGTCGCGAACGTGCTCTGCATTGCTGACCCCCACAAACTCGGACAGTATCTTGGAAGCTGACATTGAACCCCAGTACGCGACCTCACAGAATTACAAGACCTCTGTCTGGAGGAGGTTTCTGTAGCCAGAAATAAGCTTCAGAGGGCTGCGAGAGCAGCAATCGGCAATCGATGCAACCAGTCATTGTACGTTGCCGGGCATTGAGAGAGGAAGATTTGAAGGGTGTCTCTCGTGCGAACAAAATAGATTACACTTGCAGTAGAGCTACGGCTCGGTCAAAGGCGCAACCCCACAAACTCGAAGGTAGCACAAAGGCAGCAGGCATGACTTTCAGGAAAGATGCCGTTTCAAATCATGACATGAGTGCCCACATGACTTTGTCAACCCTCGCCCCTTGGCCTGCTCTTAGTCCCCGCTTGAGGACGGCATGCCAGGCTTTCATGTCTGCATGTGTGCGTGTGTGCGCATCGGCGAAAGGCCTACGACCTCGACCCGAGCAAGTTTTATGCGGATGCAAAAGCATGGGAGCGGAGCTGCTGGCTTGGCTTGACTATGGCGTGGATTCCGGGCTGTGGGATGTGCACAGTTTCGGGGGGCAGGTACGAAACAGACGTGCAGGAGGAGCCGCGATCCCAGCTAGACACCTGCCAGAAGCTGCATGGATGCCTTGAACAAGGGGTCAGCGGAAGCAAGTCTGAACATGTCTGACACCGAAACGACGTTTTGAAGTCTTCACTTCCTCGTTTCGGCCGGCCGAACTTTTCCCTCTCAGCTGTAAGCCAGGCCAGGACTCAGCCACTCCCTGCCTTCGGCAGCTACGCATTTCGCGCCCTGCCAGTGAGCGCTCTGCTCCCAGCGGCCCGGAGATGGCCCAGAAGCAGGAGCTCGAGGATAGCGTCGGGTAGCGTCACAAAGCTCGACAGAAACGAAGCCGTCATGGCTTCGGGCTTCGTGAGACACATCTCATTCGTGCCTCGTACTTTAACTTCACAGTGTTGTCATGCATTTCAAATTGGTTTGCTTGGCTGTCAGGTAGTTCTCCGCCTGTCACAAGTCTTCCTTCTACAAACCCAAGCGTCATGCGGATCCTGGTAAAGCCAGCTTCGCAAAAGCCAGGGTTTGCATTGTGTTGCGTTACCACGTGGAGCCTCTTTTCGCTTCGCCTAAGAAAGTGAGTCCGTTGTGCTTCGACACGAAGGAGCAGCCTCGAAAGCCTTTGTGCAAGGAAGTCCTGTGTCCGTCCGGTTTCTGCACATTTGAAGATCATTTTCGAGTTCTAGCTGCGTTCAAGCACATGCTGAGTCTGAGCATCAGGTTGGAGGAGCGCCCCGGGGAGGCGGAGAAGCCTGCAGAGTCGGGTTCCCAGTGCCAGAGCCGTGCCGCGCTCGTTGGAAGACGAGAGGCGAAACCGGAGGGGAACTGTGGCCGAGCCGGCTAATCACGTTGGGTTTTAAAATCCACATAAGGTAGAGGTTTCATTGGCTGATAATGAGTTGCTGCCGTAATCGATCAGCAGGCGTCCTCCTGACGAGCCGACTCCGTGTAGTTCCGAAGCTTCGGGAACAGAGTTTCTGACTCGCTTGAGTTCAGCAGAGGAGCTAGATCCGCTAGGGGGTCGCATGCGGTTCATGTCAATGTGGCAGGGTGCCGCAGCTCCTCCAGCCCCGGCGGCAGGAACTGGGGCACGCCTCCAAGTTTATCTGAGCCTCTGACAGTCCACAGCACAGCGATGGTTGCTGCTCGACTCCTGAGGTTGTCGTGCCAAGCTTGTTTGGCGTAACGTCTTTTGACAAGTCGCAGCGTGCGCCTGATCCTGGCCGGATGCCCACTTGTAGCAGTCGTAGCATTCCTGGTTGAGGGATCGCAAGGGGCCGTGGCAGATCCCTGAGGCCTTGCGAAAGATGACTCCTCGGAGGATGGCGAGTGAGGGCCTAAGAGCTCAGGCACTCAGCCGAGCCTTCCCGAGCTCTGTAAGCCCAGGAAGCCCAAGGCCACGAAGAACATCACCACGGCCAACACTGAGTCTGCACACGACTCAGAAGAATCCTACAAGAGCAGCCCTGGGGAAGAGTGAGCACTGCACGCCTCGGAACGCAGGCAGAGTGCAAGATGCAGTGATCTGGGCCCATGGATTCGCTTAGAGACTTCGTAGCGAAAAAGCAGCGTGCAACAAGGGACGAACAAGGTTAACCGAGGCAGTGAAGGGAAAGAGCAACTTCCAGTGTTGCCTAGCTGACAGCGTCACGCATTTCTTAGCAATTCGGTCGACGGTCGGCTTCTTGTCCTGCAAGAATTACTGGAGCCTTCGAACAAAGTATGAATGAAGGGTATGGTATTGTGGAGATTCTTTGCAAATTTGTGGCCGAGTTTAAGATCGGCCCCTTCATGTGGCGAGCTGAACATCCAGAGATGTTGGTGAAACATGTTGAACCCACAGCAAACAAATGGCAACAACATAGAGACCCTTCGAAAGATGCAGCAGACTGACATATGGAGACTTAAACTATGTGGACTGTGGTAAGTTTCTGGATCTTGGGGGTAGCAGGTTCTCGCTGTGCCGTGGTTACCTTTTGCCATGTTGCTAGCGAAGCAGACAAGTTGCGTTCAACACGCTACAGGCATCAGCCAGCTTTGGCTCTGTCTCTTGCACGAAGCTGGAATCGGAATTTGATCAGTCAACTGCTCGCTTCTAAAGCCTTGGGTGCATGAAATCCTCGGCAATCCGTTGCTCGTGCTAGCAAGTGCAGAAGCCAGACGTCAGGAAGTGGCTCGAGTAATCAGTCCGCTCGCCTGCATGCCTGGAATGCCACCAGATGACGGCGCGCTTCGTTCCTCATGTGCCGGCGGGCGCGGCTTGCGCGCCTCGCGCAGCTTCCTTTGCGCCTTGCGGTGCGAAGTCCGAGCTCATTTTCGCAGCCGGCGTACGCTTCCAGAAACTGCAGCACTGGGAAGGGAGCCCTGCGTCGGGAGGCACCAGGAGACCCGAAGGGGCAAGCGAAGCAGGAGGCACACGTTCGAAAAGCCTTGTTCGCCCAACTTCGTCCAGATGGAGGGAGCAAGTTCTGGAAAGACGTTTCGAAGCGGGCTGCAGTTGTCCACGCAGCTGAGGAGCTCAGCAGGCCCACTGCTGTGTTACCTGATTCTTTTCGGGCAAAAACAGCAGAGACGAATTCCCGCTCGAGAATTCATGTCCGACAAACCCGCAGAAGCAGCCAGACAGGCCTCCAACAGCAAACTCTCGGGTCCCGAAGACCGAGGGATGTCGACAAGGGAATGGAATTCAGAACGAACGTGGCCATTGCTGCGCTCTTCTGAGGCACGGATGGCTGCGCAGCACGAAGGACTTCACAGTGGTGGCCTCGTCGCTGATCCGAGCAAGTCGGTGGTCGAGGTTGGGCACGCGATGGAGAGGCGATGGGCAAGAGCGAAAATGCAACTTGTCTTGTCAGGGCCTTGGTGGCTTTGACAGAGGAGCTTCCTGATGCATCGCTGCTTCCAGATGCCGTGGCCTGGAATGCCTGTGCGGCAGCTTGTGCCTCTCCGAACTAGAGCACCCGCAGTTCCCCACGCACTTTAGTAGGAATGTTCCAGAATCTCCATCTGACCAAAGCCGATCTTCTCCGACCTTGAGAGGTGCCGCCGGGAGCCACTGGGCCGGTGCTCTGGCTCTCCTGGAGAGGCGCAGTCTGCGCGACTTGGTGAGCCCGAGTCTCTGTGCCTGCCAGGGCAGCTGACAGCTCTGTGCCCATGCTTCGTGCTGCCATGGATGCATGCTTGAAGGCCAAAGTCGGAACAGTAGCAACGTGATGACGTTTGCGAAATTTAAATCGGCCAGGCCAGCCTTTGGCAGAGAGTTGGGAGCTCACCAAGAGCCAGAGGTCATCGCATGCCGTTTCGCTGTGATGGCGCGCTGAGGCGCTGCTCCTACAACCAGACGGTGATGTTGGATGCTACGCTGCAGCTGCTCGGGCCCTCGGGCGGACAGCAAACTGGCAGTGCTTTGTCTCGAAACAACCAGTAGCTAGGTGCATGGAAGCACACTCCAATCACCGGCTACCCAGAGCCCGTGGTGTGCGGCCGCTGCAGTTACTTCCCTGCTTCCTCATTGAGGATGGCGCTTATGCTTCTGCAGAAGTCGCACTGCAAGACGTCGCGCAAGGATGCATCTCAGCTGCTGCTCGTCGCAATTTGCAGTGTCCTGGACGCTCATGACTGTTTTTTGTGTCTCTCCTTGCAGGCTGCGCGACGTGCTGGGCGTGATGGCAAAGGCAGGCAAGTGGAAGTGGTCCGGCACATCGAAGAGGATGCATAAGCTTACAGCATTCGTGCCGTACTTGATCAGGAAGATCCCTTAAACCGAGGCATGCCTGTGGTGTGCTGACTGCCCACATGGATACGGGACCAAATTCAGATCGGCAAGATCGTCTCCGGGTGGCCAAGTTTGATAATGCAGCTTTGAATGCGGTGATTGCAGCCTGCACGGAGGCTGCCAGGCCTGCGTGGGAAAGAGTTGCCTGTTCTTCTTTCGCCTTGCTCAACATGGACTTTTGGGAGGTGGGAAAAGGCGCTGGAAGTTCTCCAAGCAGGCCGTGGAATGAGGATACAAACAGCCACCTGGATTTTAGAATGATTAGTTGTCTTGACGGCTTCGCACCTGGTCGTTATGGGACTGGCAAGGACGTGGTAAACCACAATGCAGCTCTTGCAGCTTGCGCTCGAGCAGCCCAATGGCGGAGCGCATTGGAACTGCTGGCGGCGATGACACTCGCGACAGGCGGGTCCAGGCTAGCTTATGTGTCCCGAGGGTCAGCTTGACGGAGTACTTAGTAACGCAGGGGTCCTGCAATATTCTTGCGCAAGGAGCGACGGCTGCGGATGTCGCAAGCTTCAGCATTGTCAGGATCTTATTGTATAGATGCCTCGTGTCTCAATTTCAATGCTCACTCATGTTTTCGAGGCAATCACAGCGTGCGAGAAAGCAGGGCGGAGTCGAGAAGCCTCGCAGCTCATGGAAGATATGGCCAGTGCGGGTCTCCCGCTTGATGCGATCGCCTTCAGCGCCTGTATCAGTGCATGTACCCAGGCTGTCAGAGGAGATTCCGGGAGTCTTCCTAGCGATTAATTTCGATCTATCATGATCTCTGGCCTGCTCAGGCGAGAAATCCAACGATTGGGCCAGAGCACTCTACCTCCTGACCGTAGCCCTCAGACAAGAGCAGGCTGATTCCGTCAGCTGCAGTACCACGCTCAGTGCCTGTGAGAAGGCCTCGCGCTGGGAGCTTGCCTTGCAATTGCTATCTGGCAACTACAATTGGGAGGTTGGTGCTGTTGGGAATGGGGCCTTTCTGACATCATGCAAAAACAGTTCTCGTTGGATGGAAGCCTTGGCTGTGGTTCACGCGAAACGGCGATTAGATGCCATTGGCCTGACCAGTGCTCTGGGTGCAGCTGAGACAGCAGGGTACAACGGGGCCCTGTGCACAGTTTTGAGAGACCTCCTGCACCAGACCAGCATGCAATTGCTCTTTGCCTGCAGAGTCGGGGGAGGTCCTGCAGCAAGCCGAGCACATGCCGCATCGACAGGAGGCTTGGACGTCTTGGATAGCCATGGTCTTCTCCATTTGGGTGGCTTGGCGGTGGCACGCGTGCGTGTACGACAGGCTGCCCTGAAGGAATTCCAAGAGAAAGTTGCAGAGAACCCGGTGCTGCAGTCCCTCTGTGACTTGGGCAGACCATGTTCAAGAGATGCCATGGAGGAGCTGAAGCTCCCTACCCAGCTCAGCCGATGGCAAGTGGGCGCACGAGATGTTCTGGCTGAAGTGCTATTGAATGCCTCACCGAACTTGCAGCCCTTGCCGATTCACGCGTCTGCCCAAAGAATAGCGGCGTGGACCTCGCTTGAGGTTTCAGGATGCAATTGGCACCTAGCCGGTGCTCCGGATGTAGTTTTTGGGGCACGGAGGTGATGAGGAGGGCTCAAGAAGAGCTCAGCAAGGATGCCTTGCTGCCGGGGCACCAGCGAGGAGAAGGCTGTAAAGATTTTTGCGGAGTCCCAGAAGGTGCTGCGGGAGGAAGCGGAGCAAGAGCTGCTGGCATCCTTCAAGGAGGTGTCGTCAACCCGGCCCGCAACTCCGACCTTGTCGCAGTCCCTCAATGCGCTCTGTGTCAAGATGCTGACCGCCAGCATCTTGCTCACTTCGAGCAGGAACACAGCTGCACAAATAAGAACTGAGTTTTCATGCAAAGCCTTCTTGGACGTGTACTAAGGGAGCATGGGCACTGTGTGCATCACATCAGCTCGTGCCAGCAGTGCGGCCAAGCATCACCTGTGACTACGAAGTGGGTGCGAGCTTGAGTGACATCGGATGTGACAACATACCGCTTGTTCCTACTGTGGTGCATGACAGTAGCTCAGGCGGAATTTGCCTGGTGCTGCCATAGCCTGCAGTAAGAACTCGCTGGCAAACGCCCGCGATTTTGTGGTCTTCACAGTTTTGCAGGGTAGTTCTCCCCAAATCATTTTAAGTGCCACAGGCGCATGTCTTCGTGCAAATACCGCGCGCAAATATCTTATCCCAAGATGGCTCCATGATCTGGGTTCACTTGGACCAAGGTCGAGCAAACCCTGCGGTTCGCACTCACACAGACAAGCGCGAGTTGCAACAGAGCCTTTGGCGGCGCTCGAAAGCCTCGGCTGTGAAGCCAGCAGTGACATCTCTGTCAGTGCCCAATCGTCATTCACCTTATTCAACAGCGGATCGCAGCGTTTGCAGACCACGTGGAAGCTTCGTGCATTCACAGGTGTCGCGAAAAGAGCAATCTGAGCAATCTTATCGTAGCGACATGCAAGATGTGCATAACATGAACGTCTATGAAGCTGTAGAAACGTCTTAACGCACAACAGACAGACTACACACTTTTGTCAAGTTCTTCTCCATGTCAGCTGAAGATGACGCAGGAGATGGGTCTCAGTGCTGGAGTGGTTGAAGATCTAGTGTTGCTGATATGCTGTAAGACGTTTTCAACATCCATGCGCGGAGGATGATGGGAAGCGGTCCAAATCAGCTGCCTTCAGGACACAGGGCGGCGACATGACTGCTAATTTGAACGTAGCAGGGAATGCAATGTCCGCCCGTTAGGGAGCAGACTACTCATGAATGTGAAGAAGCAGAAATTGTTGTTTGGCGGTGTTGGGCAAGCCTCCACAACTCGAGAACCTGGTAAGACTCTACTTACCTGCACGGGCCAAAATCATTCTCATGTCCCGAGATTTGTAATGCAGGAGAGTCAGCGGGATCGTGAAGGCGTGTGACGCCAGCTCTCCTTGCACAGAGCAAGCAACAGTGAAGCGAGAAGCAAAGTGTTGCGCTTGGGTTACAGAGACGAGTTCAATCATCTTGCGTGCCATCGTTGACAGTTCATCTTTGTGCCGGACACTGCTGGCTACTTCTTTTGGTCATGCGCTGAGAACTCCTGATGCTCGGCCTGGCCACATGGACCCAGCGTTCTTTTGACACTGTGAAGGGCATGCCTCTTCTACCTGGCGACAGGTCACTTGCTCGGATCAAGACGGGTTCTTGCGCCTTGCGAGAGTAGACGTGCTATCCGAGTTCACGCTGGGTCGAGGCATTATGCAAGTGACCACGTTGCCACGGATAGCTGAATCCTTTTGCCAGGCAGGGCTGCATCTTTTGCGAGGGATTGTCGATTAGTATGCATGAAACACACGGCTTAGCGAACGACGCATGCGCACCCTGACAAACAACTGGTCCGCCAGCTACCCTGGTAGTGAATGCTATTTGCACAAGCTCAGCATCGCATCTCGTGTGACGCATTCAGAAGTCTGAAGATTAATCGCAGGTGAGAAGAAACGGGCCAGGGCCTGATAGTTGTCGGAGGGAATTTCTGCTTGTGCTTGACATCTTTCATTTCCGGATCGAGCTGTTTCCAGGACGTTGTGCACTGAAGACTGCCCGGATATGCTTCTCCTTTGCCCGGGAAGCGAGTGTTTCGGTGGTATCTTGGCAGCAGCTGTTACGAGGGCTTGCGAGAGTGGCCGCAGTGCGGCAGAAAAGTCGAGCTTGCAGAGTCTTCGGTGCAGGGTGAATAAGACCGGATTGTGCGACGGAAACCGCCGGTAGTCGGTAGTTCTGCCTTCAAGAAACTTCAGACTGCCCACCTAGATGCGATGAACCTTACCTGGTACCAGGACTTGTATTTTGTTTGCATGTCTGCTTCACCTTGGGGCCGTGTGAACCTCCAGGAGGCCAACACTGCGAAGAAGTCCTACAACCAGGCCCGGTGGGGCCTTGACTTTGAACCTCTCACTGGGGAAGATCCGCGTCATGAAGGCCTTCGTGGGAGCCTCCCTGAACCAGGACAGATGGGTGGTGCAAGGGCCCAGAATTTCAAAGTCTCAACAGCCCGCCATTTGTCTACAACTTTGTCCCTGAGCTGTGCCCTAAACTTTGGCACATGTCAGCTTACTCTGGAGGCAGCTCAAATTCGTTCTCCTTCTCTCTCCCTCAATCGCTCTCTCTCTCTCTCTCTGTCTGTCTCTCGCGCCCTCTGCCTTTCTGGATGCGACGCGCGGCCGCGAGCCAGTGTTGAGTGCATCTAAGCTCAGCCATGATGACCAGCCTTGTGTTGGCAAGCCCCACATGCCGCGGTCAATGTAGGGACGATCTGCCGAAGCTCGCAAAAGCAGCATCGACATGACACGCAGGGTTCCTTGTGAGCGTCCAGGGAAGGAGCTCGGGCCATCTTGTCGTTCCAATGAAGCTGGCAAGCCACTCGCCCGTCGTGGTGCCGAGCGTGTAGGACAGTCTTAGACAAGTTCTTGTCCGAAGCCTTGTTGCCATGACCTCATGGCCTACAGTCCCGAGCCGTGCTCGTGTCTGAAACAGCGGTTTAAATCTGTGCCAGCGTGCTCGGTGTAGACCTGGCATGCACGGTTGAGAGGGTATTGCCACGTGTTGCCTGTTTGCTCTCCTTGGCGGACGGCAGCACTGCCTGTCTTACACACTCTTGTTGCTTAGCAACTTTTCTTGCCGTAGTGGTGTACTGCAGGTAGCACTTTTGGCCTGCAACCACGCAGAAACATGACCGGTTCTGTTCCACCGAACCACGCAGAGATGGCATCAGCGAGCCAGTGGTCGAAGGACGTAGACAACCGTTCCAGCCAATGTTGCGGCATCTTGCTGAGTTGAGGCATTTCAGGGCGCCAATCATGAGAGAGTTCTATGTAACAGTGCTTCAGAATCGCACAAATCGGCACAAATGCAGATCATGATTAGCGGATTAGCACAAGCTATCTAGTCCTCATCGGGGAGCGGCGACAGCTGTTGTATCACATCTCTTTCGAAGAGTGCAGTAGAGAGAGAGAAAGAGACTTGCCCTCATGGGCGTTTGGGACAGGAGTGTCTGAACATGATGCAGTTCGCCACAAGCCCTGCCAGAACCCAAGAGTCCCCAAAGTCCTTAACGGGCCCTAAAGGCTTCCGGAGTCTCCCAGACAGTGACAGGTGGATGCAGTTCACCTCATCTACACGCGGAGTAGCGATTCAACTTTAGCAGTCAACGAGGCTTGGGGCGCACCTTGTCGGTCTAAGCTTGCTCACTGATTGAATGCTGCAGGACTGCAAGGTGCTAAGTTGTCGGGTCCTTGCCAATGCAGCTGCCAGCTGAGACCGGAGAGAATAGGTGGAGAATCTTTGTGAAAACTGAGATCTGCCCACCCAGTTATACCTCATGCCGGACTTGCAGAATGGTGGAGCTAATTGCACGAACCAGTTTGAGATCAAGACGCCGGGTGCCCAGGTAGAAGCAGACTTCAGACATGTCCGAAGGTTTCGTCCGTTGCAGCGTTTCCCGAGGCCCGAAGATGCGAGCTTCTGTCCTTGCTCGAGCTTGCTTGCCGAGATCGATTCCACGGTGCAGCCCTGGAGTTGCAATGGAAATTTCGGTAGCCGGAAATTTGACTCTCAGAGGTACAGGCGGAGATCGACAGCGTGTGCGGCTCGCGACTCCTGCAGAGTGCCCAGATCGGTGCGAGAGAATTTGATGTGCACTTTCAGCAAGAGCAGCCGATGTTTATCTTCGTGAAGCTGCGGTGGGATTGCAGGAAGGATGGATGTGGCAAATATGCCACTGAGCCAAGCTGTGCCCTAAGCGGGAAACTGCGGCATTGGGTTCTTCTAAACGATGTGGCAGTAACTCAGACATGTCTGACATGCGCCTTCCACGGCGCAGTCGCTCTTTGCATGCGACTAAGACTAAGAGGACAGGCTTTTGCAGCCCGACATTATCGGGAGGCAACTCCCTGTCACACGCCCTTGGCACAATGGGACACACGTGGAAAGCCGGCCCCCAGTAAACACAGCCAGCATCCCGTAACCAGTAAGTAAGGTACACAGTCGAAATTCTGATCCAGGAGGGGTGCTGGGTAATGGCAGCTGCATGCAGCTGCACTCAGGTGCACTGCTGTGCTTAATTATTTGATAATACTTGATTAAGCTGTTACCATGCCAAAGAGAGAGGCAGCTGAATGAATCCGATGGCAGCGTTTAAGAGTGTAAGAATATTACACTGCCGCTCACATATCGAATCCATCACTTGAGGGCTCATCGCTGCTCGCATGTGTTCCCTGCTGATGCCAATCGCTGGGTATCGGACCACGGGTGCAGAACTGTGGATTGTTGTAGCGCACCTGAGTGTCACCTGAGCTTCCTCTCCAGCAGCCAGTTGAACATAATTTATGTACATGTGCGCATGGCATAGCTGTTGGTTTTTACATACATGTAGACGTCAGCATTCGTACAGGAAGGGAGGTACGCGCGTTTGTCCGCACCCGGCTCTAGTACTACTGTTGATAGTACTACGGGCCACTTTGCCAGCACCTTCTTTGTACTGTACTCTGCTGACACTTCGCTCCTGTGGCCCAGCTCCAAAAAACGACAGAAACGGGTGCACGACAGCAGCTTTGTTGTATGTAGGGTCAGAAGTTAATCTGGCCGCATGTGGCCGCGTAACGCATGCTAGCGTGCAGGAACAAGCTCCGCGATCGACCGTGCAGCGTCTCGGCCCGATCGTCTTTTCGAAGTCTTTCGTCCTCCTTTCGCCCCGCGCCTCGTCATGGCATCCTCGGCCGTGCCTTCGACCGGTGTCGCAGGCTCCGCCTCCGACCTTGATGTTGCGGAGTTCCTCCATGTCCGGTGCCGACTATGTTGGGGGCACTACATCGTCGCCCCCACCGGCACCCTCGACTTTAAAAAGATGGCCGCTTCCTCGCCTGGGGCAGCTGCGGCCGGAGCTGGAGCCTCCGACTCAGAACTCGCCTCCATCCTTCGGGTGCTATCCCCGCAGGATTTTGCTCGCCTCGCCGCTTCTCAGGCGGCAGTGGGGGCTGAGCCGGTCCATGGCACCACGGCGGAGCCCGAGACAGAGATGTTTCGGCAACCGCCTGGCCTAATGGGACCACACTGCATGAGGGCCTTGGCCATGCCACGGTTGACGACCTGGAGAGGTTCCGCCGTCGGCAAGTGGCGGTCATGAAAGAGAAAGCTTTTCGGGGCCAAGCTGGCTTCAGTGCCCTTCAACGCGAACTTGAAGGACGCCGTGGCCAGTCGGGTGGGGCGGGAGATGATCGTCCAGTTCGCCTATGAGAGTGTGAACTCAGAGCATTCACTTCGGTTTGGAAACGGTCGCGCCGCCGCCCAAGCTGGGCTCGGGACCATCTGCCTGTGCCACCCCAGTCGATGTGTCAGCCTGCGCCCCTGCAGTTGGCAGGGCCGCCGAAGTGACGCCCCGCGATGTGGGGCTTGGTCGGACTATCTATCAGCCTTACGGCTTCTTCGTCGACGGCGCCACCGGACTGCATCCCGTATTCGCTGGCGAAAAATGACACCCACGACAAAGACGTAAAAAAAATGCGCAAGGCGCAGGATAACAAAACATGTGGTTTCACGAAGTGAGGAATACACCACGCAGGTCAACTTACGACGGCGTCTCAACAGCTTAATTACGACGGAATGTAGCGTCAGATTGAGGTGCTAAAAACAAGGGAAGCGGAAAGCAGACGTAATCGTCGTTATGCAAAGCGCAAAATGTGTGACAATGCGAGCACCTCGCGAAGGAGGTGTCTTCCATGCCCTGGAGTGGCTGTGGTGAGCGAGATGGGGACGCAAAGGTGTGCGAACAAAGGCAAAAAACACCCGCGCAATTGAACTCGCTAGGATATGTATATATATATGTATGTATG